AAAGTTCATTTGACTTCCATACGTGAATGTACCTTGTTTTTTTGTCGGTTTTTTCTTTTTCTTCCAAAAAGTCAAATCAAATAAAACAAACCCAAGAAACCCCAAAAGAAAACCCATCCCACCCCAAAGATGCTGGAATGTATTTTGAAAACACACGATATGCAAATTTCTACAGTTCGCCCCATTATTTTTTTTTTTAACTAGCACGGCACTCACTGTGTTTTTAGTATAAAAAAAAATGTCAACTTCCTATAAACATACAGCACATGACCAAATTCCCAACTAATGTACATAAGTGCGACCTCAGGGAGAGGGTCAGAGAATAGCTATCTTAGCTAGTATAGGGCATTTTTTTTCATTATTCCTCTAAGAACTCTATTTACAGCCGTGGCCCAGATGTTCATGGACTTTCTGGTGAAGGTAATTGGCAAATAGATGTCTACTGTACTCCCTCTTTTTTTTAAGACTTTCTATCTTAGGGTCCTGTGCTCTGGCTCCCAGCTCAACCAAAGTTGTCTACGAACAACATACTCACCAATAAAACCTGCTGTGCATTGTTAAGGACCGGTTTGCAGACTGGGAGCGGTGCGTGTCTGTGTGTATTTATGCACATGCAAGAATATGAAAAAAATAAGCGGGGAAAAGAGGGTGAGACCAGCAGCAGTCAAGTCTTCCCTGTTGCAAATTGCTTTTCTTCTGCTTGCCTCAAGCTGCAGGTTTGAGAAATAAGTTTGGTCCAAAACGGTTTGAGGGCATGGGGCATCACCTGGGATTGTGTGTGGCCTCTCGGTGTGCACGGGACTGACATTTTCTGTTTCCTAATAGCCATGGGAGGCACCAGGCTGTGGCTTTCTAGGTGGAAACAGAGCTGGTTGTTCTCACTTGGCCTTCAGCTAATGAATGCCATTAAGACGTGCGGTAAAATCATCCCGCACGGGTTGTATTCTGTTGCTTAAGCTGGATTTACTCTTCTCTGTTCAAAACAGCCCGGTAACCTTGAGGTGCTGGAGCAAATTGCAACAGGTATTTCAGTCCCTGCTGCCACGGGTGTTTGTCAGTCGTGTAAACACTTTGTCTTTCCTTTTGAGTGCCCAGGCATGTCCTGGGTTCTCAAGTGTGGATGTGGCTGGAAGAAAGGAAGGGCTGTTATAGTGGCCTCCACTGGACTAGATCCCTCCCTGACCTACTTTTCTATGAGTCTAGCCCATGACTCCTCATTTTCCTTTTCTATCGTGCTAGTACCAAGCAATGCAGCTTGCCGGTCATATCTCAGCTCTTGGAGAACGTCATTGTGCTTGCCCTCCTCTACGTCTCCAGCTCCGCGTGCTGTAAGGTTGCCTTTGGAATGAAATTGTGGAATGTAATTTCTAGTACTGGCCCCCGTATGTTTTGTGGTCTTCGGACATCTTCCCAGCCGGAGAGGAGAGTCCGGAGTCACAGCTGTATCTCTTGCACAGCTGGACCCGTAAAGGAGGGATTCAAGTTTTCAGGGCTAAGCCCTGGAGAACAGCGTAAGGATGCACTTGCCAACATCCTGGAGATGAAGCAGCGGTGTGTATGTGCGTGTGTCAGAGAGTTCGATCGCCCTGGTCTTTTCGAGATGCCTTCAGGAATTCAGAACAAGACTCATCATTTTATACTAGTCAGTGTGAGCTGAAGGAAGGCCACGGTTGGTGTCTGATAGAACACGGTGCAACATAGGAAACAAGCAGATGCTTTTGGCCAAGACCTGACAACTTCTTCTTCATATGGTCCATGGCAATTGGCAACTTCGTGGGTCTTGGTAAGCTGTGAGCCACAGCAAGGTGACAGAGAGAGCCTGAAGCCTTCCAGAAGAGACTGCATGAAACACAAGCCAGGTCTGATGGTTTGAGGAGAACGGAGGAAAGAAAGAGGCTAGATAATCACCTAGCTGGGGTCATATGATCCCAGCATTCATTCCTGCCCGTGGCAGGGGGTCGGACTTGATGATCTGCGCAGGTCCCTTCCAACCCGACCAACTAGGAGAAGCAGTGAAGGAGGCATAAATGAAGTCCTCCTCGTTAGCAATCTGGGAGTGGGGAGGCAGGCACCTTCCCAGCCCCACCAAAGCTAAGACTGTAGCAGACACCAGAGGTTTCTATCGCAGTGACCCCATGCAGCATCTGCTGCCAACTTTGGACCCTCTAAATTGTTTACTGGCTGGCATGAAACCTGTGCATCATTTAAATGGCAGGGACAGGGTGGGTTGCTGTTGTGACAGCTTTCCTCATCCTTTCCAGGATGATCAGCAAAATGGAGGTGTGTTCTTGGTGGAAGCCGTTCAAAGGAGTACGAGGATGGAACAAGTCAAAATGATTAGGGACCTACTGACGTATTTCCTCCGGGTGCACGAGGGTCCTTACCACAACCTAGAGGTAAACTGTATAAGTCCCTCGTGGTTCATGGCTTATAAGGACCCTGTAATTCCTAAGCAACTTTATCTGAGCACCAGACTGGTGCATCATGATGAGTTTTGGCTTCTATAGATGGGCAGCGGAAAACAATACCTGGGCCGTGAGAGATTTCACTTCCAACATATAAAACATGGCGTTACAAAGGAAAAGGCATAGGAGCTCAAAGGATCAGATGACAGGGGAGGAAGAAGAGTACGGGGAGGTGGTAAGAGGCAAGCATTTATCCTGGTAGGCTGGAGAATAAAGACATCCATGGAGAAGAGCACAAGGTGCTTCCCTCGCTGTCTAGTACTGTATGGAGGGATGTATCGTGGTGGGGGGTTATGCCCCCTTCTCTTTATGCTTGTGGTTAAACTATTCTGGCCTGGCCATACCTATTGCCTTCTGCCTCCCCGGTGCAGTGTGTGGACTCCAGTTTGTGTGCTGCTCCTAACCACAACCATTTCATCGCAGTTGCCTTTGAGTAGTACAGCGAGTCTTCCCACGGCTTTGCTGGTACACCCAGCCCCGTTCCTACACCACCAGTTGCAGAGTGAAAGAAGGGCCTTTTTCATTTCTCACCCATCCTAAAGACTGTCCCACGCCTGCCTTCCGCACGCACACACAGGCCAACAATTGCTACCGAGCCTCCTGCTGCTCTTTGCTGCAAATGGTTTTCAGCGGCAATCAGATTGAACTTGGTCCCTAAGAGGAAAACTGAGCCTGGCCCCAACCGCTCCAATCCCCTGCTCAGCGATTTACATTTACACTTTCCGTAGGTCCTAGGCTGGAAGGAATTAAAATATCCATCCAATCCTGCCCCTGCTTAGCAGCCTCCCTGCCAGGGGAACCCAACAGAGCGGGAGGGGGCAGGGAGGTCTGCTGTTCCTTTAACTTTTTTTTTTCCGATACAATCTTCTATTTGGTCCAAAGGTCTTTTGTGGTCCTGAATCACATCACCCTTTGCGATCAGCTTGGTTACTCCTTCCTATACAATGTTCACCAATTTACAACAATAAAAAGGAAAAAAAAAAAAAAAAGACAAAAAAAGAAAAAGAAAAGAAAGAAGTATTTTACAAAGGAAAAAAAGAATCAGTGTTGACTATGCCAACTACCTAGATCAATGGAAAGTCTTTAAGCGTGGGCAGTATGCCAAGCTGGCCAAGGGGGTTGGAGGGAGGGCATGAACATCAGGGTTCATAAATGCACCCAACCCGTTGTCTGTGGCCACAGAAGGAGTCATGGTTGAAGAGGCTGGATTGGCCTCTTCGAAGAGTACTCAGTAAAGCGTTGGATATGTGGAGAGCCATCCCCCTCTTTCCCATCTCCTTTGCAGCTTGAGTTGGTAGGGGGGAACTGGGAAGGAGAGGGGTCCGGGTACATGTGGATCCCTGGAAGGCTGGTGGTGGTGGTGTTTTCTCCGGTGGTACCAGGTTGCTGGAGTGGTTTGTTGGCACAGGTGGGCTCTTCAGTAAGCCTGGCCTGTCTCTACTGGTAGGAGGCCCAGCACAGCTGAATGTTCTCCCAGCTTCATCCTACGCTGTGTAGACAGGCTCACGTTCTTGGCCAAATAGTCGACGGCAGCTGGGAGGGTGGGGTGGAAAAAGAGAGGGAGAGAAAAAAAAAGGACAGCGTGAGAGTTGGGATTTGGGGGAAATGCAGTGTTTCCCGTCTAGATAAAGTTCCCACGGTTGCAAAGAGGAGTTGCACACGGAGATGGCAGCCACCCTACCGTAGGGAGAGTCACAGATAGTCAAGGGTTGGGTGCGCAGACAGACAACGGTCTATTATAATGGTAGCCTTGCTGGAGTGAAGTACAGGTGTTGCCTCCTGAGATCTCTCTACGCCTATTGCTACAGAGGCACGAATCTTTCCCAAACGTGCTATGAATATCTGGAAACCACGTGAACTCCCCTTCTCATAGCAAACGTAGGCTTTGGGGGAGTTGCCAGGAGATGGAGTCTGGACAGGACCTTGGTGGGGACAGTTGCAGGATGAGCAGAGACAGTCATTCCTCATGTCCTCAACTCCCCTGGGTGACCTCCCAGCCACAGGCCCAGCTCCTGACCTGGGTTACGTGGCCGTAGCTTAACTCCACCGAGTCCGACGAAGCGACACCAGTGCGAGCGAGGTCAGAGCCTGACCCGTACGCCGCAAACCGATACGTTTTGGTCTCACTCCCTGCCTCCTTCCTGCCCTCCTAGGAGAGGGCTGCACCCATTGTGGTCATCTCGGGAGACGCGGCAGCGAGGCCCGCGGCAAACCAAGGACCCCGAGTCCCAATTTGCCACCAAGTCCCCCTGGTCTGAGCGGGGAAGAGGGATGGGGCAGGATGGTGACATTGCTCATTAGCAAAGCTTCAGTCAAAGTCTCTCCCTCTCGCTAGCTATAATGTCTCAAATTAGATTAATAAGGAGCTGGCAGGAGACGTACAATCGGTGCCAATGAGTAAACAAATTTCAGCCATCAACGTCTTGTCAGACGCCTGCCCCCAAGGGGGTCCCTTCCAGACACAAATTCTTATTAGAGTTGTCATATCTATTAGAATTCCTTTCACGCTTCTGCGTTCCATCACCGGCATCATTAGCACGGCTCCGGCCTCTGGGAACTGTAAGGACCACATTAATCTGGCACCCCTGCTCCACACCGGCTGGGACAGAAGAGGCTGCACCGCCTCCACATGTGAGCTTTCGTGCCTCGCTGCACGTGAGAGGCAAATGGACCTGGGCGCGGGGCAAAGTTACCTTCAGGTAGGAAGGGCAGTGCGGATCCCTCTTAGGGAGATCAGTCGCAGGTGGCTTCTTGGCGCTGCAGTCACACAGGACAGCAGATTGGGAGCTGGGCGTGCTGCTTTGGCGGGTGGATGGAGGTGTGTGGAAATCCCAGGAAGAATGAAAATCCTAGCCTCGTCATAAGGTTTTTGGTTCTACGCGGTTGTACTGTGGTGCAAACGGATGATGTCGGTGTGCACGAATCAGAGGCAAATAGGGATCAAAGGGGTTCGTCTAGTCCAACTCCCTGCTTGAGATGGGATTCTCCGTGTCTAAACCCTCTCCAGCAAGTGTTTGTCTAACCTCCTCTGAAATGTGGTGGAGATCCCACAACCTGTCTGGGTAATCTATACCTCTACAGTTTAACCACCCTCACGCTTAGGAAGTTCTTTCTAATAGCCAATCTATTTTTCCCCTGTTGCAATTTAAGGCTGCTGTTTCTCATCCTGTCCCCTGCAGCCACAGGGAGCAGTCTATGCTATTATACACACACATACTATATACTATTTTGACTGTTTTATGTCATACGGACATAGGACTGGCAGGAACCTCTTGGGGCACTGAGTCCTGTCTCCGGCCATCATAGACAACCACATTATACAATCCCCTTAATAGCCCCTATGGCAGGGGTGGGCAATTATTTCAGGTGGAGGGCCGCGTACTGAATTTTGGCAAGCCATCAAGGGCTGCATGATAGGCAGCCTGGGGCAGATAAATATTAATTTTCTAAATTTTTTAGGGGCCCCGTGGGCCAGCTAGAATGGCCCGGTGGGCCGCATCCAGCCCACGGGCCACATTTTGCCCACCCCTGCTCTAGGGTTACATTTAGGCTGCACTAGCAAAGCAAATGTATTCCGGAGATGGTCTCCGTAGCACCAGGTGTGGTTAGCAGTGGTGTGTGCGCGGATGTGTGTGTATCCGGGTGCATGCCGTATGCACATTGTCATTTTGCAAGGCACGGATGTAGACATGCACTCGAGAAGGGAGAGAGAGAGGAGGGTGATCTGGGAAAATTAATTCTTCTTGGGAATTAGTTGGTTCTGAAGCCTGGACAGAAATTGCTCATCCTGCTCTGGGCATCACTTAGTGATAGAAATGTAGTGACATTATTACAAGGGGAAGAAAAAAAAAAGGGCTGAACCGCCCCCCCCCAACTATTCTCTTCTGTGCCTCTGGGAGCATTGGCTGGCACTGCATCATCTCTTGCTAGAAATCAAAATTGCATGTTGCCGGTTTAATGGAGAGGAGAACCCAAAACAAAAAGTAGCATAAGGCACATAGGGGTGTGTGTGTGTAGGCCAGCCTGCCCCATGCTCAGAGATGCTGAGCACTCCCATCCCTCATTGACTAGCATAGGAGTAGCAGGTGTTCAGCATCTCTTACATAGACAGACACAGTCCCCATGAGTCTGCTACTTGAAGCGAATGAGCTCTTTATCAGGCCCTCTGTATATAGGTCCTGTCTGCATAATTCCAGAGGGGCTTTGCCATTTTAAATGCATCCCAACTTCACAGAGAGGATGATGATTTGGGCAGCGTTTGCTTTTCAGCCTCCCACTGAAAGGGAGGAGGGTCGCTCGCCAAAGGGCCGGGCTTAGCTAAAAGGCTGTTTTTCCCGGGGAGGGAGCGACTCCGATGCTCAGCAAAGGAGAGGAGCAGCCGAGGTGGCGTGCGCGTGTGCGAATCTTCTCACCTACCTTCACCTCGGCAGCAGGAAGGGCTCCTGTGTGACTGAGTGCCTCGGGGGAGCGTGGCACATCTGGTCTAACTCTGCCAATCGCACACGATTCGCTTCTGGGCACAGAGCGTTGGGGAGCCCGGATCCTGACTGAAATAAACTGGCAAGTGTTCCCGCTGCCAACTGAGCCGTGAGCTCAAAACTGGACTTTGAAACTGGATGAAAGTCTAAGGCTTGGCGGCAAAGAGGGAGGCATGGGACAGAAACAAAGAAGGGAGACAAGTATAAGAATATAAAGGGATCTGGGCCATCGCATGAACAGAGAGTGCCCTGAGGAAGGATCCCTGGCATTTCATTTTGAGATCGCTTCCCTTCCCTCCTCCTTTCTATTTTATTCTATTTGATTTATTTTGCTGTATTCTATTTTATGTGATTTTATTTTATTTTATTTCCCCTTCCTCAGGTTTTTTTTTTTTTTTTTTTTCCGCTTACACACATGGGGTGTGACTAACGTCCCGCCCAAGGGGATCTTTATTGGAAATACATGGTATTGGAATTTGTTTAAGATTTTTATCAATAGCACGTGTGTCCAGCCTCACATCCAGAAGCGAGGGGAAGGTCAGGGGGTCACAGATCAAGCTCCCTAAAAACAAAAAAAGGAGGGGCGGGGGAAAGCTGCTATTGATCCCGTCTGCCGCCACAGCCGGTTCTCATTTAGCCATAGAAGTTAAAGACATTAAAGGGCTGTGACGGAGGGAGGAATAAAAAGCCACAGTCTAATGGAAGGAAAGGTCACTGAGGACAAGCCATGGGCGAGCTGGAGAGCTGGAGGAGGAAGAGGATGCACCTTTAACCCTCCGCGGGTCACTCTCTCACAACACCACGCTGATTATTAGTTTAACACCGGCAGGTGAGCCCTTTGCCAGGGTCTCTAGTGTTTTTGTGACCCAGCCATCCTAGACGAGAAACAGACCCTCCCAACCGTGGCCTTTTGGGGCTGATCCAAACCCCTTGCTGAAGTCAATGGACAGATGCCAGCTCTGGCTCAGGCAGCAAAGCAGACGGCCTCATGACTCGGTGCCGCTCCCAGCTGCCAGCCTAGAGGGGGTCACAATGCCCTAGTTTGACTTGGTTGCAAAGACTGGCGCCGTCTTCCCACCCTCTGCTCTGGGAGTTCAAAGAAATCACTGTCAGATCTAAGTTTTATCATTGTCCGAGCATGGATTTCAGTGCTGGTGCCTTGCTAAGCTTTCTAGGGCCCAAACCTGGCTGGCGGGGTTTTTGCTAGACTTCAAACCAGTCCGCAGCATTGCCCAGTTCTTGCAACACGTCATAGCTTCCCGCGCTAACCTCCTCCCTCCTCGTTCCCCTTTGTACTAATCAGGAGAGCGGCTAGCGTCCCCCTGCCTCGGCCTGCACCCCTCAACCACCTCTACAGCACATTTCATAGATTCATAGATGTTCGGGTCGGAAGGGACCTCAGTAGGTCACCGAGTCCGACCCCCTGCCCTGGGCAGGAAAGAGCGCTGACCCCAGCTAGGTACTTGTCCAGTCTCCTCTTGAAGACCCCCAGGGTAGGGGAGAGCATCCCCTCCCTTCATCTTGAGCCATAGTGAGCAATCTGATGAAGCAGGCCTACACCAGCAGGCTGTGCTCTGATGCTGGCAGCAGGATAAGGGCTGAGCTGGATTTGCTTGTGACTTTGGTGGGTGGGGTGGTTTTGGCAGCGGTGGACCTGTGAGTTTTCCTCTAATGAGTCATGAATGGTGGGCTTATATCCACCATAAATATTTGTTCAGAGGATGGTCTGGTGGGCTCCTGACTGCATAGCCAAGCTCAGTCCCTTGCTTAGTGTAGTCTCAGGACAGAGCCCTCATTTGGGGAGCCTGGGAAGGAGTATATGATTGAAGGGTGGCACTGATGGGCCCTGAAGGGAGTCACGTCCAACTGTTTTTTCCCAGGGAAATGTCCCCCATGTCCTGGGCGCGTGATGCTGGGGCCATTAGGGATCAAAGAACTGGAGATGAGGAAACCAAAGGGCCCCGGTGGGGTCTGTCTTTCCTCCATAATATAACAGTATTTGTTTAAAATATTAAATTCAAACTTTTCAAATAGACAGCGAGTGAGTGAAGGACCCTGTGCAGAGCTCAATAGAGGACGGGGGTTTGTCTCTAGGGAATGATTGTCTCCATCCAGAGAGCAGAGCCAACCCTCTGTATAATTGCCGGCTTTGCTACCCTTCCTCCCCACCATGCTGACTCTCCAGTGCAATTGGTACTCACTTTGTCCGTACTGGCCATACTGGTAGCCAGCTACTGGGTCCACGCTGTAACTGGTGGTGCTGTAGGTGGGAGGGCAGTAGGACTGCGAGGTGGGGAGGCTGTCCACAGACTTGATGGAGTCACTCCGCTGGCTGCAGCTGGCGGAGATGGAGTTGGTGCTGTCTAAGCCACCGTGGAGGGGGGAGATGGAGAAGTCAGCTTGGGGCTGTGGAGGGACCCCGCTGGGGTTGCTCAGGATACTCATCACCTGGAGAAGCAAAGGGGACAGCATGTCAATAGGCCCATGGATAGGACATGCTCTGATACACCGAGGCTTAACCTGGGGTGCCCTGGTGAGAGCCAGTGTATCTAGTGACTTTGAAGACAGGCCAATGGTGCCAGAGTGAAGACCGTGGGGAATGATGCCCCACCACCGCACCATACGTACAGCACAGGCCGTGGCCACGTGAGGTCCTGTAAGCCTCACTATAGCCAGTAGGAAGAGGGAGGACAGACAGGTCTGGCCCATCAATCCTAGGTCTTTCTTTCCTGACCCTGCCAACTGGAGAGGCAGGTAATACCAGTGCCATAGATATAGCTCCAGCAGGAAATGAAGTGGGAACACTTGCTGTGCCTTTGCAACACATGCTTGAGGAAGGATTAAACTGGCGAGAAGCATGCAGGAGGGTCTGTGTTATGAGGAAGGTTGGACTGGATGATCATATCTGGACATTAGATCTATGACTGAAATGTTCCAAGCACCGAATATTGGCATGCGATGGGAGCCCACCTGGCAGAAGCACTGGCGAAGTGAGCAATTGCTATCCATCAAACTGAAACGCACGCTGTATAAAATGTGATCGAGCCGTTTTATAGGAAAACCGTCCCCTCCCACCTGCTGTCTTGGCCACCAAAATGTCAATGGACAGACTCCGCTTGACTGTCACTGAGCTTTGGTTCAGGCCCTTGAGCATCAGTTCAGCTCCAGCTCACAATGTCCTCATCTGGCTCGGTAGCAGAGATGGTTCAGATTCCCATAAATGGAAACTCTCCAGCAGATTATGGGCGAAGAATCATCATCACCGATGCTTAGCACTGGCAAAATTTGATGTCTTCAAAGCACTGCCTGCACATTCATGAACAAATCCTCCCACACAACCTCCTTGTCAGGCTGGTCAGTAGCTTGAGTCCCACTTTATACTGGGGTGACTGAGACATGGGGAGCTGAGAGCAACATTGTCAGAAGTGATAATACTTTGATTTTTTGATGCCCAAGACACGGCACTTAATTTATACAGGTGTGGAGCACGACCTGCAACTCATGGCAGTGCTGCTCCACTGAAGAGTGGATGCTTGAAAGGCTGTGAACAGGGAGCCCAAGATTAGTAGTTGCTTTTGAAAGCGATGGCCTAAATTATCTTGTTGCCATCATTTGCCCAACGTCAACGGTGTGCTTAGGTATATGTGGTCAGTGGTGGGTACACCAGCTTCACAGTCAGTTCACTTAGCCAGTGCTTCCTCCTCGCATGCAGGTGTAACACTGGGAGATTAGTGATTTTAAACAAATGCAATATTGGTTTTTTCCCCTCTTTTTCATGTCTACATTACAGCCAGGACATCCATGAGAGATCCATGCAAGGCCTCCAGTCGGCGCAAGGAGCTGCCTTTTAAAACAGTCTCCAGCACAGTGCTTTATGGGATGCTATCATTAGTTTGTGCCAAGGAAACACAAAAACACCAACTTAGGGCTTAGCAGGTAAGTGTGAGGCAAACTGTTTTCCAAGCCGTACATCGCAGGTATCTGAGAATTGGCTTTTTTGGTTTTATTGCCAGCTCTTCCACTGACTTTCTGTGACTCAGCCTTTTGGGGCCTGAAGTCCCCCATCAACAAACTGGGATAATAATATTCATGTAGGTCACAAGGGATTGTGACTGAAGCCTTTGTGAAGAGTTCGGGTACTGTTGCAGGAGAATCCCTATAAAAGGGCAAGGTAGTTATATTGCTATAATTATTATTGATATTTGCCCTATAATTATTATTGCTATTTGCCAAAGCAATAATAATTATAATTATTTTATAATTATGGTGTTTTGGGCTGGCTTTTGATTAGCTTGAAGCTGGAGTTCAGTTTAAAATCTGACTTGAGGACTAAGATTCAAGTGTGATGGCACTAGAGACACAAGGAGCACCCCTGTTGAGGTGTCCTCCAGAGGGGCATCGAGCATGGAAAACCAGCTGTTCCTACAAGATTTCTGCCATTTGGGGTTTCCAGCTGAACTAGATCTGAGTCATAAGTTTTGCTTTTGGATCCAGTCTGGATGGGGAGATGATGATGATGATCCATCCCTTGCTTTTAAAATGCAGCTGGGGGAGAGTAGAGGTCCTAGCTCAGCCCATCTCAATGTTATACCTGGTTGTAAATGTAGTGCAGCATTCAACAGCATGATCTTTCCATGCCGGGTCCTTAAATGGCTGAACGTGGGTTATTCACTTTGCAGAGAAAATGCCTGCTACAAGAGACCTTGTCCTCGTGGCAAACAGAACCGGGATGGAGAGAGCCAGTTTGCTTGTGGGGCTGGGAATCAGAGACCTGATTCTGCATTCACTGATGCAACGGCCTATTGAAATCGAGATTACCCATGGTTGTAAAGCAAAGTGCCGAAAAGTGTCTGGAGGACTAGGGCACCGGGGAGGGGCCGGGGGGGGGAAAGGAGAGGAGCTTTGAGCGCATCGCGGCTGAGCCGTCAGCTGTTGTGGGGGAAGCGCGAGCTTGCCGTGTTTGTGCCGGCCACTCACCAGGGGACCACCGGTCACCTTGGGAGGCCAGCGCAGAGCTCGACGGCAGAAATGTTGGAAACCTCCAAATTTAGCATAACCTTATTGACATCAATTAAAGTGGCAAATTGAAAATATTTGGAGCCTGGCAAGTGGTAAAATGAGCCCTTTATCCCCTGCCAGTGGCCTGGTGAGCTATTATGCAAAGGATTCAGTCTCTGGAATGACACAAGGGGGGAGTCTATAGAACGGCGACTCCCCTCCCGACTCAGCCCCGTAACCCGGCTCACCTCCCCGCCCCTCCTCCCTCACCTTCCTCGCCCGGTCCTCAGCGATCGGAGCTGACTGACATTTGCTTTCTAAAGCTTTCCCTCCCCCGGAAGGACTCCGGAGTCCAGCAGAGACCTTTCCCTTTACATAATGTCACCTCCAGACGCAGGCAGACTGAGTCTCTTTTGGGGGATTTGTCTGTGTGTTGAGGATACAGAGCCCCAAGGGCTGCACCCCTGCAAAGAAGATGGTGGGGAAGCAACGCAGGGTTATTAAGCAGGCTGGAAAAAGCAGTAGCACCCCAACCCCCTATCCTAGCTACTGAAAGTATCACGGAGAGCTTCATCAGGGATCTTTTGCACGCTCTTGACGATCACAATGATTCAGACTCCAGGTAGATAAAGGAGGCCTTTCATTCATCGCACAATGCCAACTTTGACTGCAAGACTCCCCGCTCGAAGATATCACAGAGACCGAAAGCTACGTGGGGTATGAGAAAAGAGGACTGACGTGTATAGAGATGACAGAGTTAGAATAGTCACTTCCAAAAAAAATAAAAATAAAATAAAGCCTGCAAAATGTCATTGGAAGGACGCAAACCTTCCTGCTTCAGGGCTCGTGCCAGCTTCTGCCAGAGGTCAGAGGAAATTCTCTTGGGGCTAGAGGATATCAAACTGTATGCATTCTTGCACCTTGCTTGAAAGAAGAAACTACTGGCCATGGCCGGCTTGAGGATGCTGGACTAGACGGACTATTGATCTGACTTAGTATAGTGATCCAGTGCCACAGGGCATTCACTGCAGCTTTTTCTTCAACTCGACTCCAGGGGCCATGTAGGAAATGGGGCTTTTCATCTTAAAATAACTGAGGACCCTTTCCTAAAGGCTCCTACAGGAGCCATTCCCAGAACTCCCGCGGTCTTTGAGAACTCAGATTTCAGGTAACAGGATGCTCTAAAGCAAGGGCATCGGGCTCCTGGGACAAAGCAACGCTGCAGTCGTTTGTGCGTGGAAGGTGTTTGTCCAAGTCCAGAGGATCAGCAATTTATTCTTTTCTTTAAACTAAAGCTGAGATTCTGCAGGCTCTGAGTACATCACCTGAGCTGCATGAGCACATTGGGTGAGTTGATGGTATCTGGATGGGCAGCCTGTATATCTGACAGCCACCGTTTAACGTCACTTGATTTCATGTGGCACACAGATGAAGCAGGTAGGCGAAGCAGGTAGGACGGCACTGATGGTCTATGAGGCCAACATCTGGCCAGCTGAGTTCTTTATCGTGGTCATATACAGATGTTAGCTGTTAGATATCGAATGGTCTAATTTTGTACTTGGCTGGACTCACGTCTCAGCTTACAGAAGATGCTGCTATTTGTCATTTTTGTAAAGCAACAGCTCAGCTCACTGATGGGGAAGGCATCACTTCCTCTCTCACGCCCTGCTAAACTGTCTGGGACCCGGGGACTAAGAGTACAAATTTGGGGCTGGTTCAGGTAGAAATCAGGTGAGACAAAATGAAATTCAGTCAAAAGTCCCTAGGATCGAAGGGGTTCCTTGCTCCTTCCTCCCCCACCCCAAATTGGCTGCTTTGCAGTGCCCTGTGAGTGGCAAGAGGACTCAGCAAGGATTACATTTACACTCACTTTAAGACAGAGACAGAAGGATGTAGGGTGATAAAGGAGTCAGACCTGCATTGGCCAAACTCATGAAAGCTGAATTGCAGAAAGCACCTGTTTGAATTCCTGCAAAGAAAAACAACCAAGTTTCATGGCCTTGTGCACAGCATCATTTTGGGGTCCCCTCCAAGCTCTACACAAGACTTTGAGTAAGTCACTTCAGCTCACTAAAGACTCCTTATGAATATTATAATATCTCATTAGAATGTCACAATGCTGAATTAATTCTGTAAAGAGGTGTGCGATCCTAGAACATAAGATACCATGGTACAAAAATGAGATTATTGTATTAGAAGCCAAGAGCATCCCAACACGTACATATGAGGAGAGGAGGAGCCATGTCCCGGGTTCCTGCACATCACATATCCAGCTCCTTTTGGACAAAGATCAAAAAAGAAAAGAGCATGCACCAGATAGATGCTTCTATACTAATCCTCCATAAGAAGAAAGATGGCTGGATGGCTGGCCTAGTGTTTTGGGATGGATGGATGGCCTAGTGGCACTCACGATTTCAATTCCCATCTCTAGCCTCGTGTGTGAGTTTGGA